AGTTGTAATTGAATGGTTCGTTTACACGTCCCTAACTTATCTGTAAATACTTCCGGAAATTCCGCGCATAACCGGTTCACAAATTCATCATCGGTTATTTTATATAGATTAATTTGATTTACTTTAAGGGCGCGCAACCAGTCTCTTCCTAATAAAGGACGTGCTCCGTTTTTAATTATATACAGGGGCAAGGAATTCACTAGAAGATCAATTTATTTTCAGGAAAGTCAGGAGAACACAGGTCACACATCAGCGAATACGTAGATTCGCCCACGATAGTTATTAGCATCGGCACTTTTAGGTTGTCTTTCACGTCGTTCAGTAAAATATACTGATTAACCCGCCGTATATATGCCGGCCACTGTTTAGAACTTAAGTTAAACGGTTCTAACTTTCCAATAGGCATCTTAATACTGACACAACTTAAAACGGATAAATTTTAATCCTCGTCGCCAATGCAGCGTCAATAATAGGCGAGAGTTAGCAGTAAACTGGTTTATTAAATAAATATAACTATCTACCCGCCACCATACAAATATTCCCGACATCATATTGACAGAGACGGTACATTATTAATTCCATGTAAATGATAAATTCGAAATCAATAATAATGAACAAAAAACAAAATTGAGATCTCATGAGCTCATAACCATTTATGAAACCTTTAGAAAAACATTAAGGTTCGAGGAAATGCATTATTAGTCGAACGTATTATCAACTGTAACTTAATAAATTTTGAATAACACCATCCATATTAGTTACGAGATAGAAAGAAGATCATATGCTGAGCATCCTACAGGACTATTAGATCAATGTCTCAACATGACTTAAATATTAAGTCAAAATTTCATTTACCTAGACCAGCCTCAATGTTTTTGACCATTAATAGGTACGTTACCATTAAGATCCACATGAAATGTGTCAGAATTAAATTATATCTTTATCAACAAAATCTATCTAATCCCCGATTATAAAAAATCCACTGCATTGGTTCACACAAAAATAGTTAGTCTCTATACATCGGAAATAAGGTCTATAATGGTGTAGTAATATAGTAAAATATAGTGAAATATAAAATATAGTGTAATGTGTAGTATAATGGTGACCGCTTAGGGACTGGGCAGTAAGTGAAACTCCAAGGAAAATAAATCGCTCCGCTTAAGAGACATCCGCTCCGCGTATCCCAGCAAGACGTACCTTAATGACTTAAACCTAACTTGTTTCTTAGTTTCCAATTGAAGAACTTTGTATTTGCAACTAAGTTACGTTTTATAGAGAACCATGTTACTCCAGATTAACAATTGTTAATGGCCTGGCACTTCCAAGGTTCTTCAGAACTTATTGTTATAAGTTTATAAATAGGTAATTCGTGATTTATGTGTAGTTTTAGAACTTTAGAGTTGTATTTAGCACTTTGTAATAGAATTGAACTTATAAATAACAATATGAAATATTTAGAAGAGGAAATTGATAGATGAGTATTTTTAGCAATAACTACAATAAACCTATTAGATTTGTTTATTTATTTTTATTATTTCTTATTCGAATAGAGAATGAGTGTATTACCCTACAGTATTTACAAACCCTCGGTCAATTCTGTTCTCGAGAATTTATGAATCATAAATGTATTGTCATAGTATGTCGGCGTCCCCAAAGATTGATAACAAGCAATAAGTATTAGTATCTACTACTGAAAAACGAAACTAATTATACATCTGACTACATTTGCCAAGAATAAAGGCTAGTATAGATAAACTAACCAACCAAGAAGAGACATTACGGAGCCCTCTTAAAAGAGAAACGCCTCGTGATCTCTCAACAATTTACCCTAATTTGTGTAAAACCTACAATCTTTTGGCCATCTTCAGTAATTTCGAAAGGCTAATAATTTACTTCTAAGCTGTTCGTTATGACTGGGACACGACTAAGTGTGGTCGTGATGGAGCCGTGACGAAACGTGCCGTGGATTCTGATGTTACCAACCACTTTTAGGGATGGGAAAATGTATAACAAGATAATTGTCGATAATCAGGTCAGGTCGATGAAACTGTAAATTTTGATTTGAAATGAATGTTGTTGTTGCTTTTGTTAGATCATGATTTTGGATCACGAAGGTTTTTTAAAGTCGATGCTTGGTTTTGTAAGATTGTTTATCGTGAATTTTGGGCAATAATGCCTATAGCGATGATTATCATTAATATATATCATTATGTACCTCAATATTAGAACTCAAAGATATAGCTATTTCCATACGCTTACTTTTTCAATGACTTAACCATATAACAGATATAATTCCAAGTTGTCATAATTTCGCCAAGATATTTCTTATGTGCACGATCATAAGACTAAATAAATAAAACGCAGTCGATACCCGAAGATATATATAAAACAAGTATTTAACAAAATTAGTAAATAATGGCAACATTTATTTTGCCATCTACATTAAAATTTGTACATATTGCGCAATTGTACTTACATCATTATACTTTTCGCTTGCATCAATAATAGACCTCAAGCATTGCGTTTATATATTGGTGCTTATTACATCTTGTGGTTTTTAGTGTCAATTAAAAGGTTATACCAATACATAGATGACCTTTATTCCTATGTAAAGAGCGTATTGCTATCGGCTATCGGCTATCGGCTACCTCATTAAAGGCTAATACTAACATCATTTTCTGCGCTTTAAGTAACATTATTAGCATATTTTACTGCGTCACCCACTGAAGGTTTATTTTTATCAAGCATTATACAAGATTCCGATTGAAGCCTTGAACGAAAAATGCTAAAATTTTAAAATATATGACAACAATCGATTTTAATTTAATTTATTGTAATACTGACCTTATTTTATCGATTGATTGATATACCAATAAAATTTGAATGGAATTTTGTTTCAGATTATAATTAACTTATTTTAATTATATTCGATTAGGTATAGATTTTTAAAAATATAGTTATTAAGTTTATGGTTTTATTATTACATTGTTCACATTTCAAATGCATCTACACTTGCAATCAGTTGCACTTTTGAAATATTGATGCAGCAAATAAATATAAATTTGACCTCTATTCTAGATTATATCGACCGAAAAACATTTGCATATTAAATACGTATTTAAAAATCTGCTTCGTTTCTATAAAAGCCTATTAAAACCGGTGGATAGTAATAATCATAAGTTACGTATAAAAATGGAAAATTTTATCGACAACCCGTTTTTATGGCACTACACTGCCGATGCTGGCGACAGGTGCAGTCGAGCGGCGGTACAGGCGCGGTTTATCGATATATCGATAAATTGTATTTTGATAACGCACAGCCCTATAACTGAAAATAGACGCGGCCTTTTATTGTGATTGCGAATTATGTTAAAGCTTTTGGTCCTAGACTATTAACATTGTAATAAAGATTCATTATTGTCTTAAATGGACCTTATTTGGGATGGCTACTTGGGGTCTTGCTTCTTATAGGTTTTTTAACAAATTACATAGGGTTTAGCAATATATCTTTCAGTCTTTCGAACTTGTAAAGGTGGGGTTGAAGACATGTATAATATTTAATTCCTCTGAGAGTGCAGTAGGATTTACTTTACTGCTTTGGGTATAGTTATGTAGCCGCAAAGATAAATCTTTTTTTAAAGATCATTATATATCGAGTCTTGGTCTCTTGGTCAGATAACCTCGACAAATTAGTTGTTGTGGATATAGTGGAAAGAAAAACCCCACGTGGCCGATCACCTAACCGATGATGTTACCAATCACACTGGACTCTCTTACGGAAGCACCGAGAGAAGCCGAAAATAGGACAAGATGGAGAGAAATACCACAGATAGCAATGAAAGCCTTCCAAGGGCACGACCTTCAGAAATCAAGCAAACGATCAAGAAGATGATATCAAAAGTATCACATAGGTGTTATAACAAAGTGGCACTTATTTCCACCTATTAAAGTATTTATTGACATGCATTTCGTAAACCTAAATTACTTTTCTCTAGACACCAAACTAAAATGACTTAAGATAGACCATAACACAATTTAACATTGATTGTAGTTTGAATATTTCATTCAAACAAGTCAACCCTCTCCGGCTTACGTAACCCTCCCTTACTTGTACCACATGGGACGAAATAGGATCAACCATACTATTAAATATTTATTGTAATTGATATCACACTATATCACTTTCACACGCATCTATTTTAAATGAATTTAGTTTTGTCTCTTGGGTTTAACCTATAGCAAGATATTTTTATCAACATTTTGATAAATTATAATCTGTCTTGCTTTTTAGTGAAGCCCCGATGTTTCAAGTTCATAATGTTTGACAATTTTTAGAGCGATTCTCAGCATCATAGTAAACTTGATCTACTACTTTAAACATAGTCGTAATTATTAAAAAACTCACTTCGCATTCCATCTAAATCTTCATAACTCTGCAACAACAGTCACCTGAGTCCGACCACAGTCCGATATTTGCCAATATTTAGAAGATACCACGGACACAGTATTGCAATCCCGGGCCAGATTACATATAAAATGAATCCCGGGATAGAGGTAAAATACCGGAAAACTGCAGCTTTCAGACACAATATATTGCGAAACAAATATTTCGAGGTTCACGTATTGTTTTCTATTTTTGTATTTTTTGATGGATTTGTGTATTTAGCGCTTTGTTTTTTGTATACAATTGTATACGGAGTTGTTTTTTATTTACCTGTGTATTTCATGGCTGTATTTTTAAAATTTATTCGTTCACCTCTGAATATTTTCATAAGTGTCTTTCAGATATGTGTCAAAAAGTAAAACTATAAGATTTAAGTACTGATTAAGTAGAAAGTTGATTACATTAATTGATTGTTGACTATTCCTATTATATAAGAAATTTTTTTACTTACTCACTTGTTAAAAAACCTATATTACGAAGAAAACCTCAAATTAAAATCGTTCTAAATTTAACGTTCCTGTCTTAACAACATTCATTCCTGTCTTTAAAATCTTACCTTTCAACAGCAGCACGTAGTTCTTCTTGTCATCTCCTCCTTTAGGGTACTCCCAGTCTACATCCAGACCATCAAAGTTCCTGTCACGAAGATAGGGGATCGCAGAGTAGATGAACGTCTGACGAGCGTACCGAGTCGCTGACATCTCCTTGAATTTCTGGGTACCGAACGACCAACCACCTGGGAAAGATAGATTACGTACTCTATTATTATTTGCTTAAGGTTTAAAGTCAAGTACCTGGTGAAGATTAATACCACCACAAATTATTTTCATAAATAATTTAGCAAAGTATACTGCATGTGCAGAATCATATAGAAATAATAGCAACTTTGGTATAATACAGTGGTACTTATACCAAACATCTTTCAATCATGAAATCAATCCATCATTAAACTACACAACTAAACAATAACATTCAAACGATAATACAAAAACCTAAACCAACATTCAATACCTATTATATCGATAAAAATTATCTCACATTAATCTATCAAATTCACAGCACTAATTGCTAATGAACTCGAGCGAATTTTCGCAACTGAATAGTGAAGTGGATCGGTAAAAAATGGTGTGTCGACTTCTTTAGTCAGTCATAATGCATTGCACCACAGACTATACGTAGCTCTCATGAAAATAGGCGCGGTTTTTGTAGGCATTCCCGTGAAAATAGGTGAAAATGTCGCACGAATGCGCTTTGTGCCGTGGGAAAGGCGGTGCGGTGAGTTCGCACATGTTTAGAGAGGGGGCTGCGCTATCGATACTTTTTATTTTAATTAGAAAAATAATAACAAAATTAGTTTTACAACAATTTTGAAATTAATAATTATAAAAGAGATTGTTTTAGTTAGTTTTTGGTGTATAGAAAATAATATAATGTAGACCAAGATTTTTAATTCCGTCTGTTTCATTAGTTTTTTAAAAGCTATTGCAATATACATTACAATAATTTACATTTTTGCTGAACAAAATTAAACGACTTTCTACACACAACCATGATTGCTCCAACATATCAATTTGCCGTGATCCATACAAAACATAAGCTTCTATTAGAAAGTTGTGACACCATAAAAACTTGACATATACGACATAATATCTATATTATCACACTGATTGCTTCAAGTACTTGATTGAGCGGTTGATGATTGATGATTGATGGTATCAATCGTTGCGTTATGTAAGTTGTCATGTGTATGAAAGCAAGACGGCTTATTGATTTTTTTTTTTTTTGCAACGGCATTAACACTTTTGTGTTTATATAAAGGTTTGTTTGTATTTAAGATGTTTTATTGTTTGAAGCTTGTATTGTTACGTCACTGGTTGTGTTGTTTTTATAAGTGGAGAATAAATTTTGATAATGGATATTACATATTTGAATTATAATATTATAGAAAGTAATTTTTTGTCGTATTTAAGAGTGGGTCTATTTTTCATATTTTTATGAGTTGATATTTCTGTTCTTTGTCAGATACAATACAGGTACATTTAAACCAGAAATTTGAATACTATGAACAAAGGGTTCAATCAGACTTTATACTACATACGAACTATTCACAATGCAATTCTTAGTAAGACGCTAATATCTCTATCGGCAATAATCATCAGTTGCCATTACATGACACTAATAAAATTAACATAACAAAAACCAGTTTAATAAGTATGATAATTTATATTATTCTAAACTTTGCTGTCCTCATAGAAACACAGGCTTGATGTTATGTCATTTTGTATACCTCTACTATTGGCTATCAAACACATATCATTTTAATCGATAAACTTAACTCGATTATAAAATTTTATCGATACATCTTTGGGCATCACTATTAATATCGATTTTAAGACTCTCTGTCTGTTGGACGCGATATCTGTTGTATTTTGAACGGTCTATTTATTCGGTCGGATGGATTATCAAAGAGGTCTTTAAAAATATGAAATGGTTTTTCATATTTTTGATTTTCCATTTCAACTTTTCTTTGGCTGGTGATATGAATGTATCATATTGGCTGGTGATAAATCAGAATAAATGAATCAAATTGTGAATAGGTTTAGCAAATTTTATATTATGTATAATTAATTTTAATTCTTTATAACATTTATTGGAATACAGCGGTGAAAATAGACCTTAAGCTAATATTCTTTCTTTAACAATAAACCAGGATCTATTTACCTAATTTAGAAATAAAAAAAATAGTTACACTCCTATTTTTTTCCTTTACCTACCCTTAAAAAGAATTAGTAAAACCGTAAAGCTACATCATACTAATATCATAAATATGTGAAAGTTTCTTTCTTTGATATTCGTACGTCAATCACTCTGAAACTACTAAACAGATTAAGATGAAATTTGGTATACAGGCAGGGTATGAACTGATTGATATGATACTTTTAATCCCGATTCAATGTCTCTATGAGATAAAACAGGAATCAAATCCTGCTTCAACTAGCTGGCTAGTTAGCTATAATGTCAAAATTAAATAACAGAGTTCGACAGGCAATCTTGCAACTAGTCCTCAATCAATAGAGTTGAACTTTTGACTTTACATAATATCTGTATTGTGGTTAGGTCAATGGGTCGTAAAAACCAACATTCAATATTAAATAAGCAATTAATTTATGATATTGTTCATGCATTTCCTCAATAAAATAATTATTTAACTTTTATAAGAAAAGTTGATGCATTTAGTTGTAAAATTAGCATAAATTTTATTCTACGCTTGCATAATTCATATAGGAGGCGTGTTACAAGATCATTAAAATTAATTATCTAATAATTATTACTTTATTGTTGACATAGAATTTAATTTTAATGTTTTTTCTATGCAATTTGATATAACATAACACTGTTTTACAGTTGTTATTTAATCATGCAATTACGTAATTTGGTAACACTACACCAATTTTGCGTGATAGATGAAAATCTTCATATAAGACATAGCACCATATTTTTTATCTCCGAAGAGTGAAGGGAGGTGCACATTACGGCACTTAATGCCACTGTACACACTTTGCTATATATGTTATGAGTCCCATGTAATAGGGTTGAGCCTATTGCCATATATCTACCAGGTACATTTCCAGACTCCGTGCTACTACGGATATTTTTGTTAAAACCTAGTAATATTTTACCCGACCCGGGAATCGAACCCGACCCCTTGCCTGGCAGTCACACTTGCGACCACTCGGCTAACGAGGCATTTGATAAGATACAAACTTATATTCTCTGTTACTGAGCAATACGAAATAAAATCACGACTCGAATCATGGAACCCCAACTTTCTTCGCCACTCTAACAACTACTGGGTAGGAATTAGACAATCCTTGTCTAGTATAGTCATTACGTACTATACACAACTCTAAACCTAAAAGAACCGTTTTGGAGTCACGGAGAACCTAACGGGTTACCGGGGCTCCGGCTCGAAGCGCAGGAGAAGGAACGGGGTGGTTTTTAGTCAGTAAGAGTCTGACACTCCCTCCCGCCTCACCAAGGCGGGAGCAGTCATTCGATGATTTTCCCCCCTTAAAAAAAATTAAACATACCAATAGCAAGCAAGGTCTTCAACTTAGGGTTAGCCTTCTTCAGCGCATTGATTCTGTCATACAATCCGGTCTTTCCATCCTTGGTTTCATCATTGGATTCAAAAGAGCTGAGCTTGCCCTTCTTCAGCCATCCGAAAGCGAAGATGATGTGAGTGCACAGGTCAGGCTGGATGTCTTCTGGCGTGAACTTGCCGATCTTGGTACGGTATTGAGACCAGTTGGTGTAGTAGCAGACGATCTGGTGGAAGAACGGGAGATAGATTAATTTGGAGATAGATAAGTAGTTATTATAGTGAGAATATTGCTAGGAGACTGCGGCGTAACGTATAAATCGATGAGGTCGTAAGTGTGACCGCCTTACAAGGTATATTAAAACTTGTCGATTGGACAATTTATACACTTAATTAGGTTTTTTTATTTTGTTAGTACTGGTAATAATACAGTTATTGGCTGTACAGTATTTATCATATTACTAGCTCTTGCCCGCGACTTCGTCCGCGTAGACAGTGAAATTTAGAAAATAATTTATTTTTTGTTTCATTATGTTACTCCTTAGTACATCAGCTACCTGCTAATAAAAGTCTTGCAAAATCGATCCAGCCATTCCAGATATTTACCAGTACAACCAGACAGACAAAAATTTAAAAAATGTTTTTTTGGTATGTGAATCGTGTGTAAGTATATTCATACGCATGTAGTAAAAACTGGCCATTTTAATATTACAAACAGATAATTGTATTTATCTGTATAGATTATGGTATTTGTAACATAATTATACACGTCTGTTGTATGTTGCTATAAGAAAAAAATATTCGTAAATATATTAGTGAGATTAAAATAGAACGTAAATAAATAATATTAAATGACATAATATATTATACCAATAGGGTAGTTTCCTAAATTTTATTTTAATGTCTGTCTGGTATATTAATTTAAAACTTTAGATAATTAATTGTTGTCTTCTCACAAAATTAAATACTTTCAACGATATATTAATTTGAAATATCGTGTGACGTCATAGCGTGCAACATTTTCTAGCACGTTATGACGTGACAAACTCCTAAAATTAGCGCCATTTTATCTAAAAGTATTGCAACTTAATACGAGAATATAAAAAAATACGTATACTAATAATTTTGATACCCTGGAAACTAACCAATTCAAAGTACTTGATATCAACAATAAAACAAGATAATCTATTACTTTTATAAAAAACAAAAAACTAACAAAAGAAAACAACCACTATAAATCAATAGACAAGTACTTCTAACTTTTCCATTGGCTTCACCAATTATAACTTTAAAGGTGCTGAAACTTCAACCACTTCAGTCAATACTATGTAGTGGTTCTATAAAGTTTACTTCAGTCTTAACTTGTGACAAAATAGAAACAGTCCTTTTTATTTTTGCTCAGGATGTGGTAGATTTATTTTGCTGTCAATACTTTGTTAGAACTTTGAGTATTAGCTAATGTTATGTTATTTTACAAAGAGTTTGTGGAAAATTATAAGCTAGCTTTTTGGTAGATTACATATTTTGGTTTTAAACTTTGCCCCACAATAGGATTTTCTCCTGTATCGTGGGTGCGTTTACAAACATACAAGTTCACATACACATGACACTCAGACCCGAAACAACAATTTGTGGACCACACACAAGAATTGCCCCGTGCAGGAATAAAACCACATTGCACGGCAGCCGGTTGCCCAGCCACCGCGCCAACTGTGCAAAGTGTGCAATTAAATATTTGTTAATTGTCATTGAATCACTGTACCTCTAAATTAAAGCAAATCAAATTATAATTCAATCTCCCAATATTACAGTTTAAAAATAAAACTATACTCAATGAACTAAAATCGCGGGTTACTCACGTGAATATACTGAGAAAAGCTCTATATTATTAGTTTTATAGTTATTATAAAAACAAAACTATACTCTTAGCAATTAATTTAATTTTCTTTGCATAATAGAATAATCATACATATTATATTACGCGACTTTAAGAAGATATCTAAAAGAATACAGCACTGAATACTAAAAATTTTAAGAACATTCTACCATTTCAATGTACACAATTATCTCCAAGGATTTGAACGTCCATTCTCAAACAATATTAAAGGAATATTCCTAGATTCATATTCCTTTGTAAAGGTTGCGTTCAGGCACTTCGTTTTATAACCTACCCATCCACTACTTAAAAATACTAGCTCATTTAACATGAAAAGTTTCCTTCCTTCCCATTTCAAATTTCAACCCTCTACACTTAAAATAAGATTCCTATTACAAAACTCCACAAAATTTGAAAATTCAAAAACCTATCTTGGAGACATTCGCGAAACATTAAACATGTGAAACGTGAATATAGCCACGCATTATGATCTCTATTTCAAACGGAATAAAGTTCATTTATGTGGTATAAAAATCTTCAAGCAGGCAAATACTTATTTTGAAGGCTAACAACTTTACTTTTACATTCGAAAAGTTCACTCATATCCGTGTTGTACTATTCTTTTACAATTTGACATTTGCGTGTCGGAAACTGTTAGTAGCGATTCTATCTCAAGTGGAAAAAGACTATAATCGCCGCCCACCGTGCATTGTGTACCGTGTATAACCGCCCATTGTGCAACATGCCAAAACTATTTTTTTTTTTTACCTACCTACTATTTTCTTGTTCGTGTCTTTTGTAAGTGGTGTACAATAAAGTGTTTATTATTATTATTATTATTATAATCGCTTAACAAGACTTTGTTTAAAGTGCAATTGTAAATTTGTGTTAAGGCTTCCGCAAGGTTCCATGCTTGGTCCACTGTCTTTTTCTGACATATTTATTAGAAGGAAATATTAACTTATCTGCGTTGATATTTTAAATTTGCAATAATGAGAGCTATCTTCCGGTCTGTTTTTCAATTTGAAATAGGAGAAAAGTATTTTCCTTATTTTATGTTTGACTATAAGCCACAAAAAATACCTGAGAATTATGTACGTGGTTCTCTGATACAGTAATTGTGCCAAACAAACTTGTAATAGCAATTAATGATACCCAAATGCTCATCTACGGTACGCTGGCTGGAATTATTCTTGTTGATTTTCATAACGTGACGTCACATTGACGTCGTATTAAGAAATGTGCCAATATTACTTACTTTGTATCCATCTTTGTCTTTATGAAGATCAGTAGTGACAGAATTGTCAATAGCAGCTGAAGATTTCCGACTGGCAACGTTGGGTCGACCACGTATCTTAGGCCTGTTGACACTAGCTGAGATGATCTGGTCTGAGGATCTAGATACGCTGGATGTAACTGAAGTGGAAACTTTGCTAGGCTTGCGGAGTCTTCTGCGGACATCTGAGGAAGAAAGAGAAGTTTATGAGTAAATTGTAAAAGGAATTGAATTTACATAACACAAAAAATATTTAATCGTTGATAAATAATGCATATTACTAGTCGTGGGTAACACACGACTTCCTCCGCGTAGAATACGAATTTTAGAACATAGTCTTGCAAAATCATAATTTCTTTGGGCTAAGTAGATACATTAAGAAATAGAAAATCTCAAGGTAATACTTTTACAAGAATATTTTTACGGTTGAAGGATTATCTAAACCATAAATTCGTTTGCTTACTTGAGCACCATGTAAGTAAAATACGTTGCAAAAAATCGTAAATCTTTTCTACACGTATTACATTCAAATAGCGACGAAATTGTTTTTAAAGGAAAAGGGAACTTTTCAAAGAAAAATAATGTAGAAACAATACTAATGTTACCGATACATTTCGTTCAATATATTCCGAGTAATAAACTTGCTCTACACTTTGAATTTCAAACGTCCTTATGGGACACTGCTACCGCTGCTACAAATCCTGTACAGTATTTTTAACTTTCAGCGGAAAATGTATGGTTCATTTTCGTCTGTATATTTTCCGAAAAAGAAAATGTTTTAATGTATGGGTTTAGGGTATTTGTTTTAGAAAATGTTACCTTTGTCCAAGGAGAGATGAAAAGTTTTATATAATGTATCTATTGAGTCGCTACTGAGAATCGAAATTGCGAAACTCTTTTACGTTTTGTTCTCTTAGGAATCGAATTGGGAACCTTGTACTTAAAAGTTTGTAGATAATTTTATCAATTTAATAATATGTCTTTACTTGGAGTTTTTTTCAACTTTACCCTTAGTATTTAGCATCGGATTTGCATGACTTATAGTATCTTTACTATTTTTATAGGACAAGTGTCCTTTATCATGAAAAAATGTGGTTAAAATGGTTAATGTTATGACGGTGAATGTTATACTTATCACATCTCAAAAAAATCAATGTTATCACCATAAGACATCTATCTCTCCATGCATTCTTTCACCTAAAATATAAAAACGCCTTTTATCCCAAAGGGATAGACAGAGGTGCACATTACGGTATTTAATGCCACTACACAATGTAACATCCACTTTTTGCTATTTATGTTATGAGTCCCATGTAATAAGGGGTGAACCTATTGCCATATACCGGGCACAATTCCAGACTCCATGCTACTACTGAGATTTTTTTTAAAACCCAGTTATACTTTGTCCGACCCGGGAATCGAAGGCCTCGGCCAACGAGGCAGTCACTTGTAACTGCATAAAAAATAAATAACCCACATAGATACGCATTGATTTCAATAAATCCTACCATGTTACTCAAAACAGATTCGCTGGCGATCCAATTAATAAACCGGGCTACCAAACACGAGAACAGATTTACATAAAAAAACAAACTCAAAATTCAGCTCGCGTACGTTTCCAGAGCTATCACGCTCACATTTTAGACAAATCAGATGGTAAATACTGCTGCTCTTTCATGAAATACATAAATCTTTGGGAAGATTTGTGAAGGTATGGCTGTAGTGTGGATTTTTATTTTGTTTTGTTTTGTAATTAACTTTTTGGTTTCTTGTACGCATGCTAAGGAGTGGAATTCTTTGCCAGAGTCTGTATTTCCTGAAGGGTATAACCTGGATGTCTTCGAGGCCCCAGTGAAAAGGTTGCTTATGGGACGACGTGCTCCATTGTAGGCGACATCATCGCTTACCACCGTGCGAGATAGGGGTCAAACGTCGCCCCATCAAATATAAAAAAAAAGATTTTGAATTGTTTTGGATTGCGCTTATCAATCAAGTAACTGTGGCATAGTAAAAAGAAGGGGTAGGATGTTGAACGATATGTTTGCATGTATTTTATTATAATCTTAATAAAAAAATACAGTTGGAATGATTAATGCCCGAGGGGATTTGTCCCAGTCAACCTTGGCGATCTAGATATTTCTTTTTAGTCAACTATGTACGGTATCGTTTTTCGCTCGTATCTTATTTAAATTTTAATATTTTGTTCGTAAATTTTAGGCTTGTCTGCTACAGCACAGCGTCTGAAGTTATTCCTGTATATTTGACAGTAAGCTACTTCGCCTTTATTTTTGAACGATCTAATCAAATAAAAACCCTAATCTAACACACATAGAGTGCAAATTAATTAGACAAACGCACTTATGTAGCAGAGAACACATTAGTTTAGCTAAATGATCACGCACTCTAGAGTCATTAGCACACTATTTCCTTTCCAGTCTATTTCAAGGTACACTTGAGTAATTAATTCGAGTCATACCAGTAATTAATTAAAACGGACTCCGTAACAATCTTTTATTTTATTAAAATATTTCAGATTAGTTAAATTTGATTTTTGTTGTAACGAAGCAACTAACCACGCTGAATATTCCAATTATGTGATGTCCCTATTCTCTCAAAGCAAGAGTATAAAACCTTATAGCCAATATGACCATAGTTAAATTGGACTTGCATGATGCACGAAATTATGGTAGATTAAATCTTAAATTCAATCCATTGAATTTGTCAAAGATTTGAAATAATTTTTTTTTATCAGATGATGAACTATAACTCTAATTTTAACATAACAGTCACTAATTTTATAGTTGATGAAAAGCAAGTGTTCTATGTGTAAATTTCTGTCTACCCCTTTAGTATGCGATACTAACAACACGACATATGGAAAACGAAAACAGATTCATCAAGCAATAAATGCAATTAAAGGGAATATCCACGCTAAAACAGTCTATGGGTAAAAACGCATGTTTTACGTGAAATAAATTGCTGGATTATCAACCATATATCTTCAGGGTCCAGTCGAGCCTTGTCAGGATCTGGTCGTGTACCCATAACTCTGTACTTCTGACTAATGTTTGACAGGTTGGGTAGTTCTAAAGCAATATTTGGGTTTACTGCAGAATCATCAGATGGTTAGAATGTTAGAAGGCTCTTGCCATAAGCGGAATAAAGTGGTGGGTCGAGGATTGATTATTGATAGTGTGATTTTCCTAAATACATCACAGGAATCCATTTTTTGTAAATTACATATTTTTTCGTTCTGCATATTATTTGTGAAATTCAATACTATTACATTCTTACATATTTAATTACCCCACGAAATAAAATTGCTATTTTATTGTGTGTCGATCTGATCTTGAATCTAGATTTTCATCTAATCTACTGTTAGGTTGTGTTGTTTGACAGTCCATTTCATATTGGTCAACCTAGCATAGACCACTCGTACCATAGGTATTACAGAGTTTTTTTTTCTGTGTGTGACATATTATCCTTACTAATATTATAAATCTGAAAGTGAGTTTGTTTGTTTGTTCCACCTTCACGTCGTAACTACTCAACCGATTGCTTTGAATTTTTGCAGACGTAAAGTTAGAAGTCCGGATTAAATAATAGGGTACTTTTTAACCCGGAAAAATTGATATTCCCGAGGAAAAATAAAAGTATTGGTATAGATGGCGCTGTGTGTATTGGTATATGTCACATAGGCTACTTTTTATTCTTTTATGACGCGAGCGAAGCCGCGGGTAAAAGCTAGTAAATGTATAAATGTAGTGTTGCCCGGCAATATCTTATAGATCAAATTTTATGGCGACGGAATTTTTACGAATTTTTATTGTTTATTCCTTTGTCTGTTACGGAAAAATATTTCTGGCAGTTCAAATTGGAATTTGGTATTTGGTGTGAGGTTCGTTCCCTGAAAATATGCGTGGACTAGATTTTTATTGAGTTACTTATTTTTAAGAATGGTTTAATGATTTTCTACTCTAAATTAGAGATGCTAAAACGTAAATTGGTTTGTGCTTCGGTTATCAGGTGACAAATAAATATATCAACCGGTTATTTGTGACACGAAAACAGACTTTTGCGACGCAAAATATATTTTAAAAACAAGGAAAATTTAGATCATTAAACTATAAAAAAAATATGTCATTTTTATTGAAAATCAGCTGATCACGATTTGTGGTCAGAAATCACAGAAACAATTGAACAAACGATCAATAAAATTTTACAAGGACACTCATCATATCATTAGAGTTAAAATATCGTCTAACAAAAATTTTTTTAGACATATTTTCTGGCATAAAATATACTGAAATATCAACCTATTTAAAATAAAATCGATGTCACATAAAGATCAAATTACGATTATTAAATATAAATAAACAAAACTGATTTTCCGTCAAGGAAACCCTATTATAATACCTATGTATGCTAAATTACCATAAGTCAATGGTCGTAACATAAATATTATATATAGCCGATGTCACATAGCCTTTGACATTAAGAGACCATACAACGAAAAGACAAATTAACCAACATTTGCATATATTTGACCAAACTAGTGAATAGTTTTGGCAGTAATTTGCATACGATGTGGCCTAGTATTCGAGTCTTGACTTGGGAGGTCAGGCAAAGAGCATAGATGATTAGTTTTGGGTCTAAGATCCTAATTTGTTTAATTCTAGAAATGGCTGGAAACTGTTTATGGTAGGATGCTTAGATATTTCTGTCTAGTAATTTGATTGATAAAACCTCTGTGCATATTTTACTGTAGTGTGGAAATGAAATGATGGGTATTTTTTTAAGTCAGTTTAATGGGCAGAATTTTATAAACACTTCTTATGTTTAACATAAAATCACGCCTATTATCCCCGAAGGGGTAGGCAGAGGTGCACATCATACCACTATACAATGTAACACCCACACTTCACTATTTATGTTATGAGTCCCATGTAATAGGGGGTGAGCCTATTGCTGTATACCGGGCACAATTCCAGAGACCAGGCTTTCCAGGCTACTACTGAGAATTTTTTAAAAACCCAGTAATACTTTGCCCGACCCGGGAATCGAACCCGAGACCAAGGGGTATCGGGTTCGATTCCCGAGTGGTCGCAAGTGCGACCACTCGGCCAACGAGGCAGTCATTCTTATGTTTCTGGGTACATAAATATTGTTACTGTCTCTTTAGTCTCTCTCTTTATTTGTGCGTATTGGGAAGGGGACTGATAATTTCGAAATCAAAATAGTTGCTTATATTTTTAATAGCTCCAGGATCGAATTTGGAACTTACTTACTTATTAAACTTATCAACTTAATGGTAGTATCTCTAAGTAGACTTTACTATTTCAGTTACAGTCGATTGTATATAAACTACTACTTAAGATAGGTACAAAGAGATAAAAATTAAATAAAAGAAAACTAAAATATTTACACAGAGCAGATGTGGAAGAATTATAATAGGGAAAGTACCCAGAAGGCTGGCAGCATTGCCCCGTTATAAGGCAATGCGTAACCTCTTATCGAGAACCTAAACTTAATTGAACTGACCACTTATATTATAAGGTACTCCTGATACATAGATATTAGGTGCATTGGTAGAAATTCCAAAAAATTATACATCTGATATTTCTCAGAATAGTATCCAAGTGCACTGTACATTTGTATTCATAACATAAGGGTATCAAATTCTTCTAGACCGTACAAAACTCAATTTCAAAAACGTATTGAAATTCAACGTGCAGTGCAATCGACTCGCGTACTTGTGAATTTGTTTGAACAAGGACTTCTAGTGTTGTGAAGTTACGAAGTAGGTAGGTACATACTACCGACAGAATAGTACATACTTAAAAATTTTGACCTTCTTTCTTGCGATCAAGACTCATTTTTGAGCCTTATTCGCTCTTCTTTCATCTTTTATTAATAGACAATACGTATTAGAAAATATTTTTCTTAGCGAATAATTTATAAAGAAAGAAAGAGAAAGAAAGAAAGAATTTTTTTTTATTTGCACACTGACACAAGGAAATAAAATAAAAAACAATACAGTAAGACGGCGCAAAAAGGCAAGAGCTCAGCTTAAATGCCGTGACACGAGTGTGCTCGAGTCGCGGCGCTGATTTTCAGCACTTGCCCGTGACTAATAAAATATTACATTTAATAAAATTAATAGAAAAACAGTAAAAAAATATATATATACAATTCAAAATTAAAATAACGAAAATTATTTGTACAATAAATAAATCTCCCGAACTAAACATGCGTTTAGTTCAGGAGATTCATTATATTTGTCAGCTTGACACTGACATTTACATCACAGATGTCACATTCGCCTAATAAAATAACCTCAAGCGCACGCGACGACGCGGTAGGTACCGGTAAGCGGTAATGTAATAAAGTATGGTATGTACTATATTTTTGTTCATTTTGTTACATCCTCAGTTATTAAAAAAAAGGAAAAGACCTTGTAAGATCTCTCTAAGGGTACACAGTCTTGGAAATAAATTAAAGAACGTCGCGTGGGTCCTGAAGACTCGTAAACATTACTTATGTATAAAAAACTAGTACAATAATAGTATAAATATATCAACCTTCAGAATACTCATAAACAAAATAAATATACTTACTGGAAGTGCTTGATGTTGGTGCGATGATGGCAGCTATCAACAGGATAGCGAATGCCCACCTCAGCAATCTTGGTGGCCACTGTAACCAAACATAATTGGGCATGAATATTTTATTGTTTAATTAATTTTCTTAACGAATTCATGATTGAACCTCGTTCGTGATGGACCTTTTGCATAATAAATTGCTTTAAATTAATGGTTTCCAAATATTACTTGGTGTGGAATATTTTGAAGAGGTATTGGTAGTTGTGTAGGTGTAGGCTGTTTTGTATTTTCATCTAATATATATATAATATATACATATATAATATATATATATAATATATAATAAATCTTGAACGCAAAATATTGTCTGATATTTTAATCCAACAACACTTTCTTTAACAATAAATATATACAGGTTTTCTTGGTAGACACTTTTATATTATACCAAATATGCCTTATATAAGAGAAAAGTATTCAGATTTATAGATACCAAAAATGTGCCTTTGAATTCTCTTGAGATTCTAATGTTACATTAAAATTACTCACGAATGTTTTCTGCGAATTTCTTTTCTCGTATCTATCGAGAAATATATAAGTAAGGTTAGGACAAAAATATGTAATATTTTTACCATTTATCTTGTCACACTATCCGCTTTTAATATTTTCGTAAGTGGTTCGTGGTATAGGACCTTTGTGGCATGGTTACACTGCGAGCGATTCGCTAGGACTACTATATTTGATACAAATACTAAATACAAATCATATTTTTATAATAACTGTCTGTAATCGGAAATTTTTAGTTACATCTGAATTTGATCAACGATTTTGTCATATTTGTTCCTGATTCTGACTAAAGATGTTTATAATTAAGCATTCGCTTTCGTATTTAATAAGTGTTAAAAAATAACTACGTGTATTCTTCCGAGTAATAAAATATTTTATTGTGTTCATGTTACAATATCTGTAATAAAAGCAGATTCTTAAGAACTGTTTTCTCCACACGCAACCACTTGTCATCCTACATAAATATACAATAATACAATACAAGTGAAGACAACGCTTTTAAAAAAGAAAAATGATGTGTAGGCTCTTCTTTCTCGCTAATCGCTAGCACTATAACCACACCCCCACTTCAAGATTACAGTTTCAGTTGCCCGTCAACACGTCACTGCTATGAATAATGCAACAGAGCCGCGACCCTTGTATTGGGTCCATACATCTATCTACATAGTAGAAGGTAGCAGAAAGATGCAAGATGTTTTCCTATCGATCCCTGTGGAAATATGGAATATTTTTCTACTGGTATACTGTCATATGTGTAGATATGTTTTGAGGTATTCGTAGTGATAGTCAGAGGTGATTAAACTTTCTATTTATTCTATTAACTTTTCTTTTCATCTAAACTGACGACGTCGGTACCTACAAAATTAAATTATGTAAGTTAGAACAAAAAGACGTAAAAGCAAAGTGTTTGAAAGAGATTGTTATTATTATTTTTACTCCTTTGTTGTGTATTTTCAATAATTCGTAATGTATACGACTCTCACTCAAACGAAGCTTATATTTTGACAATCACAAATTCCATTTTTGCCAACCAAACCACCAAAGCAATATCCATTTCAATGTAATCCAATTCTGATGCATTGTTTGAACCGTTCCCGGTCCGCGGCGATTCCAATACCATCCTGAAATGACGTCACAATCGATGCACTTTAAACAGGTTTGTGAATTAGCTTTGAAATGCTGAAACTAGTCCAGTCTATTGTTCAGTTGACTGGGACTGAATTTCAGTGGGCTTTGTTGCATATTGGACTCTCAAAATTAGCTGATTAATTATGGATATGATTGCGTCGCTGGTTGATTGTTTGTAACTTGGAGTGTTAAGTGTAATTATTATTATTGCCTTGGATTATATCCTTGCTATATAATGTCGTGGTGGCCCGGAGGTTTAAGACGCTGGCTTCTCATGCATGAGGGTGCGGGTTCGAAACCCGGTACCAATGTGACTTTTTCCGAGTTATATGTACTTTCTAAGATTATTTAGACACCACTGACAAACGGTGAAGGAAAACATCGTAAGGAAACCTGGGCTTATAATTTCTAATTATAAGTTTGTAATCGCCAACCCGCATTGAGCAAGTTCTTCATGTGAGAAGAGGCTTTGCTCAGCAGTGGGCATTTATAGGCTGTTGATGATGATATCCTTGCTACAGTACCAAGGATTTTCCAAATGTAATTCTCATTAATAGAACTTTGTAAGGATCTTGCTTCCTTAATACCTTTTATTAAGGTTCAAGCAAAAAGTTGCTAAAATCTAAGTAGAACTCTGGCTGTCTTTACATTAGTTACGAGACTGGGTAGTATATAAATTTTCCATCTATAATAATGAATTTGTAACAAGAAAAACAACTCAGAATGCAAAATATAACTCCTCAATACTGGAGAAAGTCTTGGAGAACTTCGCTTTATCCAATTATATGTGTTTACAAAAGTTTTGAGGGAGGATAAAAAGCATTTCTTTATAGATCCGGCGTATAATGAGTGGACTGAGTTTGTTCGAGAGTTTCGGCTCAATCTCGGGACCCTAATTATAGCTTTTAAAATGCAGTCGATTTTCTCAAAGTTTGTTTGTCGGGGTCCGTAGTTGGAGGGTGCTGGGACGCTGTTTTTGAAGTCATGTAGAATAAATGCTAATAGTTTTAAGCTGTTATGTGGTGAAGGAATATTTATGAATTATGAAAGGATTGAATAAAGACTTTGAACGGGTTTTTATTTCGATTTTTCCAGTGATATCAAAGTATCTAGTGTTTTTAATTGTGAATAGATGTTTCAAATTGTTTCATTTCTAGTTTCTAGAAAGTCTTCACAGATGTAATATTTTATGACATTTTTATGCTAAAGAGCCCTTGATAAAATTTTTGACTTCTTTTTGCCAGTGTTTGTATTTTTTATTCAGAAAAATTTAATTCCATGTTTTATTCAAAATTGTGTCGGTTGAGTTCAGCTGTGAGTTTTATGTGTTTTCACTTACTGTTTATATATATTTTGGAGTATTCAATTACATATAATATATAATTATGTGTTAGTTGAAGAAGTTACTGTTTACGGAGAATGTTAAACAAAACTTCATGGTTGTCAGATAAAATTATAACTGTTTCTATTTGACAGTTCTTTAACAAATTACGACTGACGACTAAAATTAAGAAGTTTTTCGAAAACTCTCCATCATTTCTGTTTGAAAAAACAGTGTTGGAACTAAGATTATTTACTCAGCGTAGCTAAATATAGTGCGAACAAAAAAATAAAGGACATCGCCCACGGGTCTTTTAATTTAAAATCACTATCGCGAACAATAAGGGTCGTACAGATTACAGAAAAATTATGACAAATGAATTCGTCGCTTGGAAGAAAAATTTGCATAAAACATCTTTGTTTTTAGCTTTTTTGTGGATAGTACTTTAGATGGTGAATTTGTTGTTGGTTTACCGTAAATTGTACTCAACATAGTTTATTATTAGTATGGTACTTAAGTATTTTGTGTTCAACACAGAACCATTCTCAACTGATTCAAAAATTGAGAGACGTATTTGTTAAGTAGTTTTCAAGATACCTAGTATATGTAATGTTACCAACTATTTTGGTATTCATAGTACATAGTAAATAGCAACATGTGGCTGAAATTGAGACTGAACTTATTAACAAAAAGATATGAAATTTAAAGAAACAGAATCAAATGTGAATGGTGCAGTGTCCAATGACAAAACATATAGATGTACAATAGGCCTTATTATTCCAAGGTCACGCAGAATACAGTAATAATAATTGGTAAGAATTTTCAAGTATTTATTTAATCATTGAATCGTTTAAGGCATTTACAGAACCAACCTTGTTAAGATCATTGAACTCGATAATTTTGCAATGTGCTCTCCAATGTGCGTACAAATTACGAATTAATGATTGTGAAAGAGTTTCTGATGAAATTTATATTTGGACTTGTTTTGACATGTCCAAAGACAACTTGTTTTTGTGTCTCCATTTGTCCTGCGTTACTTGAGGCTGTGACTTGTAATTTTCTTCTTCAATCGTCCCTATAAGTTCAGTTATTTTAACTTCCATTTGTTAGAGGTCGGAAGTCTTTTATATGGCTTTGTTTTTGCTAATTTAGATTTATTACAATAATCGATATTGATTACAATTGATTACAACGAACGACATGTCTAATTTGTTGCATGTATGTTGTGTATGTGAACTTGTATGTTTGTAAACGCACCCACGACACAGGAGAAAATCATAGTGTGGGGCAAGGTTTAAAAAAAAAAAAATTAAATTCGCTACTTCAGGACATAATGAATGATGTAATAAATAAAAAATATATTTGGATACTCGACAGTCGAGTTCCTTGTCAAATAATTACGTGAGTAAGCCGAAAACATAATAATAAATTGTATAACTCTTTTCTACAGCGTGTCATCAAATGCAGCACTTTCAACCACTTAAACGCCCCAGTATTTTTCAAGGATAACACATATTTGCCAAGACCAATAACTTAAAACATGGCCGCCTCTACAACACATGTTCACACACTACTTATCTTGTATGCCCAGGTCATCATACATGTTCAACAAAAATTAATTACAGATTTATCTGCTAGCTGTATGAAACAGAACAAATATTAGCACGGATCGTGGCCCAGCGAGTTGTAATTTATTAAAAACGTCATGCAATTCTGATATGGCGCTGCTAATGAAAAATGCTTGGAATTATTCGCTGTTTTATTGGATAGCACTAATTAAATGTCTATCTGTTACATAGGTAGTCATGTTTTTAATTGATATCATCGGGCAATGCAGCTGGTTGATGATCGGGACATTTTAACTTTTGTTTTGTTTTTAAAGCTTTTAAGGACTTACGCTTAATATTATAGAATTATCTGTGTCTCTGTAGTTACTAGATTGTTATATCTAAGATTGCATATATCTATTAATCCCTAGTCGATATCTATATAAATAAAAATGAATCCCTTTTTTCCTTGGTCACGGCATCACGTGTGAATAGCTGGACTGATTTCACTAATTCTTTTTTTGTTGTATTTATTATTATTATGAGAAGGTTTTTAAG